TATATATATAGTATATGAGGCTTATTTCATAGAAGTATGTAAAAAATGAAAAAACGATCAAACCCAGGCTGTATAAACTCATGGTCATCTCCATTCATCTCAGTTATTAAGGGCTGGGGCCATAGGTCTTGTGCACATTTAGCTTAAATTTTGAAATTTTAATTTTCAGAAGCAAACAGCTCCTGGTTGAGTTGTAAGGCATTATAACCAAGTGTAAAGAGATTTTTATCGTCAGTCCCTGCTAAACACCATCAGCTCATATCATTAATCAATCAGCAGGAATTACTCTGACAATCCCCTACTTCATTCTCAGAGTGGCTCCAATGGTCAAGTCAAACTGATTTATTCACCTCCTCCAGGAGTCTTTCCTGAAATATTCAAGCCCAGAGTCCATATGAGAAAAGGTTGCAGCGCACACAACTGGTCTTTTGCTACATGTTCTTGCAAATTTAACTTTTTTGTTTTCGAGTGAAGATGCGACTCCAGCTTCAGTTGATGTCAAAGCACAACAAACAAAAAGTGCATGCCTCATTATCTAAAAGTATTGTACAATAAAAATTAAATACCAAAGACAAATAATTTTATGAATGTGAGCACAAAAGCTGATATGCTGATGTAAATTGAATGCAATGTCTTTTGAAACTGCACTTCCTGCCTTTTTGGGACCAAGTTTGCATGAAAACATGTCTGGTTGAAAAAACTAATAATGTCCTGAGTCTGTACTGAGAAACAACAAGTAAGAAAACCAGCAGCAGCACTCTGAGGTTCATTTGAGTTGAGATTCATAAGAGTGCTGACAGGACATGTAGTACAATCCTCACAGCTGGAGACATAATTTCACAGTTTGTGAAAAAAGGAAAACTCTGAGTTTCAAACAGAACCTCCTAACCTTGATCTTTGTTATTCTGGAGCACTGAGCAGGAGGAACAGCTCTGTGAAATCTTTAAAATGGATGAGTTTGGTTACACTCTGATCTGATCGACTTATTTTTCTTTTCTTTTTCCATTTATTTTTTTAACTTCACTCTTTGTTCTTGAATTTAAAATGCATTGTATAACTGACTTTTCCCTTTGGCAGGTGTTCTTAAAAATGTTTTGTTGACTGTTAAATGAAAATAATGGTACAAAGTTACAGGGAAGTTGGTTTTTATGTTTTTACCCCTATTCTGTCAGTTAACAGTGACCTCAGTTATTTAGTAGAATTTTGAGACAAACACATTTTCAGGTTCTGTCATACAGAACCTGAAAATGTGTAAATCTGTGTGAGGATGAGTTTTTCTTTGTTTCAAGCAGTGAACTCATCAAACATCCATTTATTAATCTAATTATATTTTTGTTTTTCACAATATCCAAAAAGATTTGCAAACGTTTAACATTTCCTTTCATTAAGTGTGTGTCTGCATAGATGCACTTTTTTTTAATTGTTCAGATGAGTACTTGTACATGTTTGTGTTTCTAACTCTGCACCTACGTATGTTTACTCTCCAGACACTCCCGACCACAACATACGAGTTGGAGATTGTGGCCAAGGACATGGCAGGAAGCGAGGTGGGCCTAACAGGAACAGCAACAGCTACCATTACTATCACAGATAAGAACGACCATGCCCCTGAGTTCACATATCCGCTGGTAAGATGCATCGCCTCTGTTCTTTTCCTCTCAACTTGTGCCGAATACTGTGTCTTCTAATAAATCCTCTTGTCATTCTCATGCAGCTTCCACAGACAGTGTGTAAAAAAACATTTTGTTTACCCCTCCAGGGAAGAAAAAGGTCAGACTTACTGGACAAACTGTATTTATTCAAGGACTTAGGATACATCAACAGAGCAAACAGCACATTTCAGTCCATGTCTTCTGGTAATAAGGAATTCTAACAAAATAATAGGATTACGGTGTCCCAGTGGTGCATTTTGTCAAAACTTTTTTTTTGTTTTTTGTCTAAAACATAGTCAATTTGAACCTAATTTGTTGTATAAACAACCTAAAATACACATTTAACAATTTCTTATATCAGTTAAATGCAATTAAACTGTCTTCACTCTTCTGGCATATCACTCAACTTAATTAGTAAGCTTTTGAACCTACTAATTATATTACAGTGTGTTTTTTAAAAACAAGGAAATAAATTAACAATAGGTAAAGTTTTCTGAAAGATCGTAACAAAAAAGACATTTAAAAAGTAGGTACTTTGATGTTCAATTTTCAATTTTTTATTTAATTTATTTTTAGCAGACACTAAATGTCCCAGAAACAGCCTGAAAAACAAATCACACCTGGTGGATAGAAATAAAAACAGAAATAAATTTAAATTTAAGGCATAGTGTAATATTTTATTCCATCCATCCATCTTATGTACACGCTTATTCCTTTCAGGGTCATGTGGGTCACTGGTGTTCATATCCAGTAGTCACAGTGCGAGGGGCGGGGTACACCCTGGACAAGTTGCAAGTCCATCACAGGGACACACACAGAGACAAACAACCACTCACACTTAGGGACAATTTAGAGTTATCAATTAAACTAACAGGCTTGTTTTTGGTCTGTGGGAGGAAGCCGGAGTACCCGGAGAGAACCCACGCATGCACGGAGAGAACATGCAAACTCTACCCAGAAAGTTCCCTGGACTGGGATTTGAACCAGCAACCTTCTTCCTGAGAGGCATCAGCTCTACCAACTGAGCCACTGTGCCACGCACAATATTTCGCAATATTTTACTCATTTAGTTTAAAATTAACATTGTCTTGTAGGTCATGTGTACTGCACCCACCTCTTTCAAACCCGTGCGTGTGTGTGTGTGTGTGTGTGTGTGTGTGTGTGTGTGTTTGCTACCTAGTGGGGATGATGTTTGACCATTTTCTCGGTCCACACAGCCTGGTGAGGACCCACTGCTCCCCAGGGTAAGTGTCCTGGGGAGCAGTATACTGTGGGCGTAATGGTGCGTTCACACCGAACGCGATTTCAGCATCAGGAGCAGCAGGTTTACATACAAAGTCTATGGTGGACGCGCTTCAAGCAACGTCGGGAAGAGCTGCGGCGCCTCAAGCGCGATTAGAGCAGCGCGATTTGAACAATTTGAACGATCTGAGCGTTCGACGCGCTGAGGCGCAAATCGCTGAAGTTAGAAAATCTGAACTTTTGCAGCTCGACGCGCCGCGTCAACCAATCAGAGAGACTCCACTGTGTGACGTTGGGAGACATATTTCCCAACGGGACAGTTTACTGAATGATGTCCACTAACCTGAAACAGATGGAGAGGAGCTCTTTAGCTGAAATGAGTACCTGCAGTTGGTGTCCTGATCAGCACCAATGCGTGGCAGCGACACATCAGACTGGAAAAATAGTCCTGAAAGCGAGCTGTGAGCCTCTACTCTGAATTATCTGGTGAATTAATTATGAATTAATTATCTGATAAACGTGACACGCTCTTGCTCTCTGTAAATAAAGCAAAGCCACTTCCTCGTCTGACATTAAACAGAGCCCGACAGAGGAGGGAGGGGCGGGGAGGCTCTGCCGTGAAGCGCTTCAAGAGCTGACCTGTGTCTGACCTCAAAGTGCACAAGCTTCAAACTTCAGCGTTGGCTGCGATTTTGAAGCTGAAATCGCGTTCGGTGTGAACGCACCATAAGTGTCCTGATACCAGGTTTAGGGTAAGGGGTCAGGATTAGGCTATAGAAATGGCTGGTAAATTACTGGAAGTCAATTTAAAGTCCCCATGAGATAGAAAAACAAACATATGTGTGAGTGTGTGCATGCACACCTTCTTTTTAATTTTTTTAAATTTTTTTGCCACCTGGTGACGACAACTTTTGACCATTTCCTCAGTTCGCAAAACTTGCTGAGGACTCACTGTTGCTTATAGGGACAAACGCCCGGTTCCCATTGGAGGAAATACTGTTGGTGGGTCATGGGCTCAGTTTCGGACCAAAGTGGGAAATTGAGTATAGGATAGGTTTTAGGTCATGTACTGAGTGGGTTAGGATTAGGGTAAAGGGTCAGGGTTAGGCTATAGAAATGAGTGGTAAATGTATGGAAGTCAATGCAAAGTCCCTATAAGGACAGATGAACAAATGCATGTGTGTGTGGTGTATTGCACTGATGCAATTTTTTTTATTTTATTTTATGAGTCTTGGTGCAGCTCCTTTTCAAACATTGTTTTAATGTGGGAGAAATGTGGGGGCAGTTATTCAGCACGGAATAGCCTAAACTCTGAACTTATAGGGTACGATGAGCAAACGCTGGTCTATTTCTTCCCCCTTCATCAATAAATGTGATGTCAGAGCTTTTCTTTCACACACAGATGCTGTGGCTACCAAAAATACCTAGGCCTTTTTCCTGAATATATCCATCTCCTAGAAGCCAGCAATAAACCTGGACCTCACGCTTGGCCACCCACAACACACACAACACATCCAGCTTCCTATGGAAAGGGCTGTACAATATTAGCCTGCATTAAATATAATTCTCTTCTCTTTTTCTGTTGCGGCACTTGGCAGGAGAACACAAATCAGTGCAATCCTCAGATTAGAAGAGGTGATTAATTGGCACTGAAAACATGTCTGGATGATGGTTCTGTACAAATACTGCACATGTTAAACTGTTAATGTTGAGATATGAAGTTATAGACATACTGGTATAGATATTATTTATTATTGATAGTTCTTTCTGGTTTTTTCCATCAGTATTGATCTTCTTGAAGGTGCCTCACATTTCTTGCTCATCAGTAAATCTGTGCTTTTTAAGACATGAAACTGCTAAATTTTATTGACAGGAACTGAAACGAGATCAAAGAAAAAGCAAAGAAAGTAAGGACAGGATTCTTTGATCAAAAGACAAACTAAAAATTTAAAACAACATCAAGGCAAGGAGGATGAGTCACGTTTTTGAAGTTTGAATAAGCAGTAAACATCATCTAATGGGAACTTACATAAGTTTTGATCAGAAAACATTAAGGATCTTCTAAAGATGCGTAAATCTGTTCTAAATATTTGTTTTAACCAGCTCAAAGTGAATTTTATTAATCTATTTTTATCATCTATTGTATTCAGACTTCAGTTGTAAAGTGTGTTAAGTGTTTTTAGAAGTCAACACTCTTACTATTGTATGTTTGTTGAAGTAAATTCCTGGTTCCCCAGAAGATGTTAACAAAATCATGAAAGAAAAGTCTCCTAATAATGCCCTACTTTTAGTTTGTCCTAGATTTCATATAGTCTGAGCTCTTGTTTGACACATTCAGAGTTTGACTATGTGTCATTCAGTGATTTATGATGAACAGTGTGACCTTGAAATATCTGAGGGATCTAGACAAGAAAAAAAAAATCTGTAGACCTGAAAAAGGACCTGAGAGATCTGTCATGTTTTATTTGATCCAAGTCATATTCATTATTTTAACTTTTTAGTTAACTTTTAATCTTGTTTTTGTCAAAAAAGACAACAAAAGAAAAAATATGGAAAAAGTGGACTTTTTTAAAAATTTTACTTATGTAGTATTGCAAAAAAAAAAAGTATGACCTTTGTGAGAAAGAGTTGTTTTATGAGCCTAAAATAAGCTATTATAAAACTGGAACCAGTCTGTCTGCCTGACTTGTAGGTTGACATTTACCTTTTTATTAATTCCCTTGTCTTTGATTGATGTCACAGCTGATAAGTTACTTTTTTATAACTATTGACAAAACAGCCATTCAAAAATGATCAGACCAGTTAACTAAAACTATGTTTACAGGGAAAAGTGACCCAAAATCGGATTTACCCCTGACAGTCTGAACGTAATAAATCTGATTTTTTTTCATATCCATCCCAGGCATGTTCAGTATGCAGTAATAAATCTGATACATAGCTAATGTTTTTTAAAGTGACTGCAGTCTGAACACTCATGTTGCATTTCATTTGACTTCAGTGAGGTGGGGGTGAGTGTATCGATATCCTTGTGCCATTTAAATCTTGTAATTCTACGTCTTTAGTGACAGAACAGAAGTCTAGTTGCTTTATCTTTTTTTTTTTTCCATGTCCTGGATGACTGAGAATCTACAGAATATATGATTGTAATGTCTGTCTTGGACCGAATTGATACTAAAGTTACTGGTTTGGTTTTTTACTTCCAGCATGTTGCTCTTGTTCAGTGAATAATTTGCTGCACTGGAGCAGCCAGCAAGAGGACGGCTCAAAAAGTAAACGGTGATTAAACAAGCATTTAATCTGCTCTGGTTGCACAAAAACTTCAGATACGACATGCTAACGAGTTGTATACTGAGATTTAGGAGTCAAATTGGCACCAGTGTATTTGGCACGCCCTCTGTCACGTTTTATTTATTTTCTTGTTGATTTGCTATTTCATTTGTGCTGTTATATTGTCAGTGCTTAACTCATCTACAATCGTCAAACACTTACGGACATCACAGTAAGCCCTGACATTGTATCAGTTTTTACTTATATTGGTTAAAATGTATTAATCCTTTTAGTGGTTTTGTGATTTTTGTTGATTACTGTGCAGCACTTTGGTGCATGCTTTAGGTGTTTTTAAAAGATCTTTATGAATAAAACTGACATACTTCTGTAAACACTGAACAGCTAGCTGAATGTGGCGTCACGTCATCCTCTGGGCATGCGAGCCGCATCAGTGCCGTCAAGAGTTC